ATTAATAGTAGCAGCCATTTGAACAAGAAATAAAAAAACATTAGCAGTTGTTGTAGACTTTGATTCAATTATTTTAACAGCATTTTTGGCAGGTAGTAATATTTTTGCTAAAACTTCTACGTTTGCCCAAAATTGCCGATTTTGCGTAAGATCTCTTAATTCTGGTGTTAAAGCTATACTATTATCTTCTAAAATCTAATTATAAATTTATATAATTAAAACTTGTTAATAAAGTAACAAGATAATTATTATTACAAGATCAGATAGTTTTATATTAAAGTAGTTGGCAAGCTAGCAAGGCAAGCTTTTTTTTAGCTCACCAAATAGTAGCAAGACTCTCACTAGTATTGTCTTGCTAAGCTTATCAGCTTTCTCGCCAGCTTGCGAACTACTCTATTTTATATTCAATTTGTTATTTAAAATTATCTAATTAAATAATAATAAATATATATTTATTAATATGCATACCTGTTTAATACAAATTTCTGTATTAAAAACTGATTGTACGCAATCATATGCAGATGACCAGTGTGAACAAATAGAACTTTTTAATCCACCTTTATTTATCATCAAGCGAGTTATTTCATTATGTAAGATTGCTCCAGAATGATGAGATATATGAAAATATGTTATAAATGATTGACATTGTTGTAATACTTTTTTTCAAATAAAGTTTTACAAATAATATTATTGCAAATCAACTGGATATGATGTGCAATACATCTAACAGATAGAATTGCTGAATATTTATTTGAAATATATTGTTTGGCAAGTGTCATAGCTAAAGTAGCATCAGATACAATAGCTCCAAATTTATCTACACCAATATCTGTTAAAACTATTTCAATTTCATTAGCAGTAAAAATTGCAGTATGTGATTCACTAGAAAAATTTTTAATTGAATGTACATATTGTTTTTTGTTAGCAGTTATAATTACAAATGCAAAATAAAAGCAACCAAGATTGCTTGTCCATCCATCTAAAGCTAATAATAATAAATTTATTTAGTAAGAAATATACAATTTTTATATATTTATTT